TGGGGCTGGCGGGAAAACGCGGGGCGGACGGCCCCCGGCTGAAGTTTCCCACCCGTGAGAGCGACACGCGCCCGGGTCCGCCCGTGGGGGAGCCCGGCGAGGGCGAAGAGGCCCGCGTGCGGCGGGCAGGGCTCTGAAGGTGGGGTAAGAGTTTGCGGAGACCGGGGCTGGGTCGATCTCCCGCCCCCGTGGCGCCTTTGCAGGGAGAGCGCGAGGGCCCGAGTTCGAGTCCTCCCCGTCCACGCGGCGGCTCCGGAACCCGGCGCCCCCTCCCGGCCTCTGTGGGAACTGCACAGCACTCGGGAGGCGGAGGCAGGAGGAGCTCTGAGTTCGAGGCCAACCTGGGCTACGGAGTGAGCCCGGGCCCGCCTGGGCTACAGGGAGACCCCCGTCTCGGGGGTAGAACAGTCCCCCGAGAGACCCGCTCCCGGCCGGGGCCGCCGCCTCGCATCCTCGGGCCTGGGCTGAGGGTCAGCTTTAGGAGGGACCGGTCAGGCCAGCCTGGACCTGACCCCCCGGTGGGCGTGGCTGGGGCTGGCTCCGCCCACACATTCCTGGCTGGGGAAGGGCGCCTGAGCCCCACCCCAAGGTCAAAGGGCGGCCGGGCACTGGCGCGCGCAGCCCCTCCCCTGTGCACGCCCGAGGCTGGACGGTGGGCCTGGCGGGCCGGGCTGGCGAGGCCGCAGAGGAGTCGGCCTGGGTGAGCTAATCAAACTCTCTGGGTGGCTCGGGGCCGAGGCAGGGGGATCTCTGTGAGTTCGAGGCCAGCCTGGGCTACAGAGCGGGATCCAGGACAGCCTGGGCTGCACCGAGCAACGCTGTCTCAAAACACAAAACAACAACGCAGGCTTGGCGAGCGCGGTCCCAGCACCGCGGCAGCTCACGCCGAGGCCGCCCCGTCCGAGATTTCACCCCACCCCCACACCCGCCGCAGGTTCGGAGCCTCAGTCCCGCCCCGGCCCGATCGATCTGCGCGTCCTCGGGGAGGTTACTGTCCCCCTCTGTGCACCCGTCTCGGCATCGAGAATAACGGGTAGCAGAGTCCGGCGCCCTGCACGGCAGAGGGGCCCGGCGGGCTAAAAGGGTCATCGGGCCGCTGAGTGGGGTCCGTGCCTCAGTTTCCCTATCTGGAAAAGGGAATGATAGCTGCACCTGTTTCCAAGGTTGAAAGGAGGTTTACGTCACTTCGGGCACATCCTGCTGTCTCCTGACAGGGTCTCACTCTGTAGCCCAGGCTGTCCGGGAACTCACAGAGATCCCCCTGCCTCAGCCTCCCCAGTAACCGGGACGGAAGTGACCCCCTACGATCCATCCTCAGCCCTGAGTTCAAATCCAGAACCGAGGCCGGTCTGCAGGCCCCAGCAGGCCCGAGGCACCCCGGGGAGGGGTCGCGGCTTGTCGCCAAGCCCGCCGCCCCGGGTTCGATCCCGCGCCCCACACGGTGGAAGAGGCCACGGCAGGTGCGCATGCGTGCGCACCCCCTGTAAGTATTTCAATGCTTAGGAATTTAAGTCTCCAGACGCTGCGGGACGGCGGAGCACCTGACGTTTCGGCGCAGGACACCTAGGGAAACTGAGGCAGGACAGGTCTGACCGGAGATCAGCGTTTACCCTGCGGGGAGGAGGAGCGGGGTGGTCCCGGGGAGATGGGGAGGAGCGAAGGCCCCGGGGCAGGCGGGTCACTGAGCCCCGTGCAAGGCGAGAACACTCCCCCAGCCGTGCCCCCATTCCCGCGTGTGCCTGCACCCCATGCGCCGCAGGAATGGAATTCAGACTGCAAACGGCTGGGGTGGTGCACGCCCCTGTCACGGGGGCGGGCTGCGGCAGGAGGATTGCTCTCAGTCCCGGAGGAGCCTGGGCTGCACAGAGAGCTCCAGGCCAACGCCCACCGACAAAGCGCACAGCGGGGCTTCCTGGGGACCTTCGGGAAGCTTGTGTCCGGGATGCCCTGGAGCAGCCCTGGAGCCAGCCAGACTCCAGAAAGGCTAGCCTGGGCTGCCCTGGGCTCGGCCCACTGCATAGGGGCTGCAGTGCCAGCTTCAGCCAGCAGGGGGCATGTGGGAGCCAGGGCTGGTGTCTGGGGTCCCCGGTGGGAGGGTGGTCCCTGTCCCCAAAATAAACAGTCGCCAAACTGCGCCCGAGGTCTTCTCAGGCCTGATGTAGACCAGGCTGGCCCGGAGCTCACTCTGTAGACCTGGGGGAGGGACATGCACGCAGCTGTCCATCACACCTTGCACCTTCCACTGTGACAAAAGCCTTAGGTGCCCGCCAGGGGCTACCTGTGCGCTTATGGAGTGCCTACTGTTTGCGGAATCTTCTGAATGGTGGGCACAGCTCGGGGGTGCAGGACGGGAGCCCTGAGGGTCAGGGGGACCCCGAATCTTATTCTGAATGGTGGGCCGACGGGGGTGCAGGACGGGAGCCCTGAGGGTCAGGGGGACCCCGAATCTTATTCTGAATGGTGGCACAGCTCGGGGGTGCAGGACGAGGAACCCTGAGGGTCGGGGGACCCGCGAGCGAGCGCCTGGAGAGCGGGGTTTAGCTCAGGGCGGTCCGCAGCTCCCAAGCGCCCCTCAATAATTTAACTTTGGGGCGGGGTCTGTGCGCGCCCCACTGTCCTGCCGACTTTCCCGCCTTGGCGCTGTCCGCCCCGCCATCCGCTCCCTCCTAGGTCACCCGCACCGGCCACCGGAGGGCCAGCTCCCCACCCCACCCCACCCCGTGCAGAGTCCGCCAGGCTCCCACCTCCCAGGGCATCCCGGCCCCGCGGCTGGCCAGGCCCCGCCGCCCCCCAGTTCCCTCCGCCCCCTCCTCCACCCCCAGTTCCCTCCGCCCCCTGTCCACACCCAGTTCCCACCGCCCCCTCTCCACCCCCAGTTCCCACCGCCCCCTCCCCGCCCCCCACTTCCCTCCGCCCCCTCTCCACCCCCCATTCCCACCGCCCCCCCTCCACCCCCAGTTCCCACCGCCCCCTCTCCACCCCCAGTTCCCACCGCCCCCTCCCCGCCCCCCACTTCCCTTCGCCCCTCTCCAGCCCCTGCCCCGCCTGTCGCGCCCCCCCAGGCGTCAGTGGGGACGACTGCTCACGCCCTCAACCATTCAGACGTCTTCTCCCCCAGCGCCTCCCAGCTCCCCAAAGTCCCGTGTGGTGGCGCGCGCGTCTGTCATTCCGCGCTCAGGGGTGGAGGAGGGAGGATCAGGAGTTCGAGGTTATCCTTGGCTACTCGTGGAGACAGACGCCAGCCTGGGCCACCTGAGATCCTGAGTTTCCGGGCCTGGCTCCCAGCATACCTGGCATGCAGTAAGTGCTCAGCGGCCGGCGCTGTCTGCCTTGGCAGCGGGTCCCCAGCCGCGTCCCACTGACCTGGCCGTGCCCGAGGGTGTTCGCTCCTACCCTGAGCAAACACTGCCGCCCTGGCCCGCCGCCAGGCCAGGAGGAAGGACCGGGCCCAAATTCTCCGCCTGGACTTTCCCCAGACTCGGGGCCACGCGGAAGTGCCAGCACGGGCGGGCAGGAGTTTCTAGATGTCCGCCCGGGGCAGTGTCTGAGGGGTCAGCTCGGAGGGGGCCGCTCTCCAGGACTCTCACTCTCCTGTGCATCCCCGGGGAAGTGGCCCACCCTCTCTGTGCCTGCCCCGGGGCCTGTCACCGTAGCGCTGGCTTCCCTGTGGCGCAGAACGAGCAACTGAGGCTGGGCTAACACTGGGTTCCCGCAGCTGGAACGGCCAGCGCCAGGTCCCCCCTGCAACGACCACGCGAGCCTTCCTGGTCCAGAATAAAGTCACCTGGGGAGCTGGACACGCCCTCCCGAAGGGATTGTTTGCTTCTTCCTTGTTTGGGGACGAATGCCCCAGAAGCGATTCCTGTGGTCACCCCCCCCCCCCCGTCCTACACTTGGCGCTCCATCCTCTCCTGCCCGCGCCCCCGCGATGTATGACGGGCACAGGTGGTGCTCCTGTGCCTGGAGTCGGGGTGACCCTGGGGAGAGTTCTGGAAAACTCCGGCTCGGTCGGCCCAGGTGCACCCCGACTTACTGCACCCGCTCACAGCGTCCCCACCTCCCCGGCCCGCACCTGCGCTCACAATGACCCTTTGAAGGCTCGGCTGCCGCGTCCTGGGCACCGCGCCAGGGCAGAAACTGCAGCCGCGCAAAGTCTCGGAAACTGTGTCAGGTGCCCACGCAGGACGGCGGCTTCCGGCTGCCCCGGGCGCGCGCAGAGGCAGCCGGGGGGTCCCGCCCGGGATGGGGTCCCCGGGATGCGGAGCGCCCTCGGGGTGGGCTCAGCGGCGGACTCACCTGTCTGGAAGGCCGAGCGGACGCGGGGTGGGTGGTGGCAGCTGGGGCCTGGGTGCCCGGCTGGCACGGGTGCCGGGGAGGAGACCTGGCCGGCTGCTCAGGCCGGGCGACCTGTTTGCTCGCCGCGGCGCCCGGGCGCAGTGGAGAGGGCGCGCGCGGGCGAGTGGGCGCGTCCCGGGCCGGGTGGAACCGGCGCGGCTCTGCGCAGTGGGGAGCGCCGGAGGCCGGCCCGCAGGTGGGAGGGCGTGGGGCTCGGTCTGTCGCAAGGGACGCTCACGTGGCAGGACAGGCCTTAACCCCTGAGCGCCCAGGGCCGACCTAGGCACGCGCCGCACAGCACCACCACGGGGGCCAGGGGAGGTGACCACGAGCACACTGAGGGGGCGACACCAGGTAGACTCAGGCTGAGACACGCCCACTCCTCACTGGGGGTTCTGGGCGGGGCTCACCCTGACCACGCCCCCAGCCCCTCACTGGGGATTCTGGGCGGGGCTCCACCCTGACCACGCCCCCAGCCCCCTCACTGGGGATTCTGGGCGGGGCTCCACCCTGACCACGCCCCAGCCCCTCACTGGGGATTCTGGGCGGGGCTCCACCCTGACCACGCCCCCAGCCCCTCACTGGGGATTCTGGGCGGGGCTC